TCATCGTTTTCGCTTTATTACCGTTGGCGCATTGGTTTAGCTATTATAGCGGAATTTAGGTAGGGTACTTAATTTCGGCGGGTTGGCGGTCGGTTACAAAAGGACTCGCGATTAATTCGCCCGGACTGTGGAGGGTAATTTCGGAGAAAGGACGGACGGTCGGTTGGTCGGTGGCGGCGGAGGTTATACTGGCCTTTCCAAAGTTTTGGCCTTTGGCCGTACCCTTTTGCCGGGCGCGCCTCAAAAGCCATTCCGGTCGACGTGATTTCCGCGTCAAAGGCTCTCTCCCTGCGCGCAAACAAGACACCGGCCTTTAACCCGCGGTATACACACACACATAACATAATATTATATATAGGTAGTTACGTATAGTGTCATCTGACCTTTTACGATATATTATATTATAAACACGACACAAACACACACACACACACACACACACGCAATAGCAGCTATAGTCCTCTAGCGCCCTTTTATGTCGACGGGAGTGCGTCCACACCTAAGCAAATTCAAACCAAAATAATATTAAAAATATCGTGATCCTTTAGTATTATTACACGTATAGTATTTAGGAGTTGACAATTTCAATGCGATTTTTGGAAAAAATAATATCGATGCAAAATTATTCGGGTTCATTTTCAAATAAATTTACTGTCAAGTGGTCCTATGTAAACAATTATGTGTATGAAAATGTATACGAAACCATGTTTAAGAAAAATAGGAAAAAGAACTTTTGAACTATTAAAATAATAAATATTTCTAAAAGCATCAACACAAGGTTGTCTTGCTAAAAATATTCTAGATTCTCATTGTAAAGAAGAAGCTATTAGTTTTACAAAGATATGTGTGTCTGTAAACAACTTTGTTTTACCAGAAACGTTACTCCAATCAAAAACTTGGTCATTGATCTTTACTTTCTGCACACAAGATTATTAATTTAACTTAAAATACTTATTGTTTAAAAAAAATATTGACTTTTTAACTAATTTTTTTTCCTTCAAAATTGAAGAAACGAGTAGCTTTATAATGTTACATTATCATACATTTTTGGCATTTTTATTTTTGGGCGTAAAACGACTACCTACTTCCACATTTCAAACGATAACCAATATGACGAATTCCATTCATAGATGGAGAATTAGTTTAAATAAATTGTAGTGTTGATATGATATTTTCGTCAAAGAATTGATGGAAATCAAACATTTCAACACCAAAACGTACCCCATCTATATATGTAATTTTTAATATAGTTGCCATATGAAAATCAAAAGTAAGTAATCGTCTCACTCTCAAAATCAAGGATTGAAAAAACAATGGTAATATAACATTTCAGAGCGGTTTATTTTTTAAAGCGTCAAAACAAATTGTTTTGAAAAGTTAATATTTTTCGAAATAATATTGATTGTTTTGCGTTAAATGAACCACACTGTGTATATCTTATTGTATCTTACAAACTTCTCGACCTGAAACAGTGGCCTGCACATAGCGCGATATAAAGCGGGATTTTTCTGGATAAAGAATATAGATATAGAGATATCTATAGCGATATCGATACAGAAACGCATTTGAATTCCGAACGTGGTATTACTGTGGTATACGGGGTTTGTTTACGGCAGCAATCATTTGATAAACGAATGTATTTTTCGACAACCAAACACGTTTACTGCACTTACAGACGATACCCGTTTGTACAACAATAAAACATTGTGCAGTAAACAAAACGGTTCGGGGATATTGCAGCGACCGAGCCAGTCCGACCGAACAAAACGGCAAACAGTACGCGGCAAACTGTTTATACCGAAAACCACATTGCCGAAAAAAAAAACACTTCTATTATTATCATATTAATAGCCCGGGTGTCGGTGTGGCGGCGGTATGCGACGACGTAGACAGAAATCGGTTAGCGATCAATCATTTCGTCTCGAGTTCCGTTTTCGCAAAACTGTCACATACTCGCGGACTCATTACACTACGCCGCGTCGCCCTGTAAATCCGCGAAACCCGCGCGCGAGAAGATCACTGGCGCGCGATCGCCCGGGTAACGCGCGTGCGGAATACGAATGACGGTATATTGGAACGACGTCGATCTCGGTGACGACGACGGGAACAAACGGCAAACGACCGTTTTGTTTCGTTTATTCTTTTCGCTTTTTTACGGGGCGAGGAATAAAAAGAAAAAAACCCATTCGTCCGCGATCGATGACGTCGCATCCCATTTCCGACCGTGGTGAAAAAGAAAAAAAAAATACACGCGCGCATCACACACCGTTCGCCCGGGGGCCCCGAAACACGTTTTTACAATATCGTACACTCGACTATACTGTTTATTTTATATTTTCTATATGGTTTTTTTTTTTTTTAATAATATGATACTGCGACGAGAAGCGTACCCGCCCACCTCCCCCCCCCCGTGAGCCGCGAACTCGTCGCACTTAAATTCGGAACTCGATTACGTACGTGTTGGGCGTGATTGCAGTGTATTTATAGGTCGACAACGTATAAACGAACGAAATCTCGTTTTCGGAATCTGTCGTACACCGACCGCGCCCGATATTATTTTGTTTTGAGAGAACTGTTTTTTCTTTCTATTAATTCACTGTTGTCTGACTAAAAAAAAAAAGAAACATCGTCTGTGATTCCCGGGTCTGCACAAATGCATAAACCACGATTGGAATAAATTCGAATAAAAGTGTTAACGAGCCGTCTATGTGCATTTATATAATATATAATTATATTAAAAACGGTCGTCGCGTATAGTCCGTGAAATTTATAATAAAATGCCAAAAAAATCGGAAAGTTGAACATTTGTTAGTGGCCGCATGATAATTTGCATATTAAAATATGACAGTGAAGTAATTTTTTTTTATAGATCCTCTTCGTTCTAAAATAATATTACAATGACAAAATTCAATATTTCCATAAAAAAAAAAAAAAATTTAACAAATAACTTACACGCACGGCGTAAGACTTAATATCGTAACCTATATTAAATATTTTGAGGAGTGTCCAGTGTCGGGAAAATAACCAGTATTTTTATTTAGGTAAAGATAATGTCTAAACGTGTATTTAATACAAAAATAGACGATAATAATATTATCAGTCATCAAGATAACATAAACATATAATTTAAGATGATAGTGGTGTATTGTGATAACTAATAAAAGGATTATAGGAATGTCACGCGAGTTTGTCTAATACTTTTTTTTTAATATAAAAATCAATTTTTTTTTGTTGTACAAAAAAATAATAATACTATACAATATCTGAGAACTGCCTAGGTTACAGCGTGATTAAAGAAAAGAAAATATTTTTTTGAGGAATTGATAATGTTATAATATAGGGGCTAACTTACTATAGCAATAGTTTCTTTTTTTTTTTTATTTTACGCACCTATGTAGATTTTGAAAAAATCTCATGGTCCCTCCCCCAATAAATTTTAAAAAATTGATGGTTTTTCTTTTTTGACACATAAGTGTTTATTACTTTATTAATAGCATAGCACTAATTATAAAATACTGGTATAAATAATACAAAGGAACAATCAATTCAATTATTGTAAAATTGTAAAACATTGTAAGCAAATATAAAATAAAAATAATTTAATAAATTCTTTTTACCGTACAAATTTTACCTCTAAATACGGCCCTGCTTCGCCCCCCCCCCCTCCAGCAATGTATTCACGTCCCTCACACGCAGATTGGTAGTTACTGTGTTATAGACTTGTGGTATCTATCGTTTATAAAGAAATAGTGCGTCGTTATATAGATTATCTATCAGACGATTTTAACTAGATAGTCTCAACACGGGTCTGTATAATATCATATCTAGTCTATCGGCAACGGGAATGTACTTCTACATTATCAGGTACATGTATACTTCAATAAATATAGACGCACCAGTTACGAGGGGGAAAAGAAAATAATAATAATAATAATAAAAAAACGCGCTGGAATTTGAAAAGCAATATTAATATATATATATATATATATATATAATGTAATGATATATATATATATTTATTTATACATTACGTTCGTTTTGCGAAAAAAATGCGTTTATTATTATGATGCGTTTATATATTGGGTACACGAACGTTTCAAAGTTATATCCTACACATTTATATAAAGCGGGCGAATATTATAATACTATGCATATATATATATATGTAACTGTACGCGAAATACGACCCATAAGAAGTATTGTGTGTATTTTTTAACTCTAATTTTATTTTTCAGATACGCACGCACACGCGAGCGCGAAAGATTCGCGCGGTAGCCAACGTGACTTTTCGAGCGTAAAAATGGAAAATAACGAACTGCAGCTGTATTCGCATACGACGACGGGGATATACAAGTTCGAAGACACATTGTTACGTACAGTTACAGTATACCTATCTGTGTAGCACAGTATTGAACATATTATTACATACGCCACTGAACGTCCGATTTTTGAATGTGTCGTAGTACTACATGTTATTATTATTATAGCGTCTTATTTATCCCGTATACGTATATATTATGCGTGTGTGTGCGTGCGCGCGCGTTTGTGTGCGATTATTGTTATATCCGCAGGTATATATTATTATTATTATTGCCTATATACCGGGTAGGTATAGGTACCTATACTATCGCCGTACACGCTGTCACAGAGATTGAATGTGGGCGTCGTCGGTGTGACGGTGAGGCGGGCGCGGCGCGGGTATAGACACGACGGTCGGACGGACGGGATAGGGGAATCAATTTTAATACCGGAACATCCGATGCGAAATAATTGATTTGCGACGGGTAAACGAGCTGCTGGCGTACCTCCGGGGGCCGGAGGACTTGATTAAAAGCACGTGCCTTAGTATATGTATATATACGAAAGTGGCGAGCCGAGGAAAGGACTTCCCGTCACCCCCCTCCCCCCTCATTCTCACCACTAGTTTACTTACCCGACATAATATACGCAATATACGCGCGTGTGAGTATAGGTTTATGTTATATAACATATTGGAAACTCTTCAGCGAAAACATTCCGTGTGATATTATATTATATACCTATACCTGTGCCTTGCCATATTGTTGTTATTAGGTATGTGAAGATGTGCGACCCGTTTCGTTCGAACTCAACCCGACCCAAATGACCCGACTTTGATCGTTTCAACATTATTAAGTAGGCGACTTTTATGACTTATAATTTTTCTCCTTTTGAATTGCCAAGTATTTCTGTTAGGTCAAACAATGACATTTACATATAGTACCTAGCATAAAAAAAAAAAAAAAAAAAAAAAAAAAAATACGTAAAAACTTGTAAAATTATAGCTCAAAAATAGCTAAAACACTTTTAAAATTTGACAGCGTCCAAAAAAGAAATATATAATTTTTCTATAAAATTTCGAGTCCCTATAAATATTTCTAATTGAATTACAACAGAAGAACAAAATTGAAAAAAATAAAAGCATTATTTTCGTAAACTTTCTTCTTCTTTTTAAATTTTTTCGGTTTTGCTTAATTGTCAATAGAACTACACGGAAAATCAAAAACTGATTTTCTTATACACGAAATAGATTAAAAATTAACCAAAAAAAGTCTCTTGTTATTTTTTGATTGAAGTAAGATTTCTTGTAGGAAACACGAATCGTGAAAATTAAAAACGATCAAATCAGTAAAGCTGGGGCATGCTGTAAATAATGGCCAGTTTTCCGAACATTTATTTTTTTTAAATTTTTACCAATTATTATGAAAACTCCTTGGAAAATTAAAAAAAAACCTCCCCAAAAAACTACATAAAATTCCTGTCAGAAAAAGTGCTCACAGTCATTAAAAAAAAAATTATTAAAAAAAAAAAAAAATCACGCAAAGTAAAATCAATAGATTCTTTGCTAAGCACTACTTAAAAAAATCATACTCAAATATTATTATTCTCTACAGTTAAAACTTCACTCTCTATAATGATAAGATTATATAAAAATGTATCTACTTTTTTTTTTTTCATTGTCGATATTCAATTTTAATACAATTCATATTACGGTTTTGCGAAACAGGAAAGGTTTTTGTGACATTAATTATTTATATATTAGATACGCGGACGTACGATCGTAAGAGTCGAAAACACGTAGTTACACTGCGCTTGGGGTTAACCGGTCCGCAGTCCCCGCGGATCAGCATCCACGAAGGGTGGACAGGTGTGACAGCAATATTTATAGGTCACGATTTATCATAATTAAATAGAAATCTCGTACAACGGAAACACGTTGCAGGTCATATTGACCCGCGAAGGTCAAAATATTGTATACTACTACCGGCGGAGGGCTCGGGATTTATGATGGGAATGCATAATTGTTCGGGAAGTACATCACATCATAGGAGAATTCTAATTCGGGTTTTTTTAAATTCAAATGTTTTATTTTTGCTACAAGTAAGTTCTTGTAGTTTCTGATTGGACCAAGATTTCTAATAAATTAATTTTATTTTATGCATATTTATCAAGTGTTGGTTATTACACACTACGTTTACAAAAATAAAACATTTTTCTATTTAAAAGATAAAATTGTAATAAGATTTTTTTTCGTGACTATGAAATAGAGGGCATCCGAGTAGAGAATAGGTATTATCCATGCGTTTATTCTTCATTTAATTACAATAAAAAAGAAAAACCAAATTGAAAGTAATAAAAGTATTATTTTCATAAATTTTCTCGTTTTTCGCATTTTTTCCCATTTATCGGGAAAATAGGGGTTTACAGAGCCCTACAGTATCACCCCGGGAAAATTCTCTTTCAGAAAAGGTGCTATACTTGATACTTTGGAGTAAAATTTATGGTAAAACTGTTGTACACAGTATAAAAATAGGGGAAAAAAATAAATGTCTTTGTTAAAACAAATACAACGGCTGAAACATTTAAATCGAAAACGTCCGGACCCTCTTTTACCGTGATGACGCGTATTCGTTATGTTTTTACCGGAGAAAATCACGATCCTCGTAATAAACACCGAGTACTTCGTACACGGGACTCGGAGAAAATTTCGGAGCGTGCTCCGCGGTTTAAACTTCAAAAAACAATGTTGATAATATGCGTCCCGGTGACTGTACGCACACGAGTGTTGTACCACCGTCGGAGAGTCGGAGTGTCTGAAAACCGGGCGAAAAGTTTTATCCCGCACATACGCACGTAGAGGACCGGCCGCTGATGATTTATGGTTCCCCGGAGGACGGGCCCGCCGACCGACCGACCGACCCGGTCCGGTCACTCGGGTATATGCACGCGCGCGTATATTATTATAACCGCGCGGTTATACGCGGCGCGGCGGGTAGGCGTGAACGGAAACCGAACGCGGTTGGTCGGTTTTCGTCCCCGCCGTGATAAGGCACCGCTTTCTCTCTCACTCTCTCTCTCTCTCTCTCTGTCTCTCCCCCGCCCCCACCCCCTCTCGGTACCNCCCCCCCCCCCCGCCCCCTCCTCTCCCGGCATCCCGTTAAACGACCAAGATTTTCGGAGCGTTTCCGCGTCACAAACGGATTACGACTTCGCGACCGCAATATAATATACAGTTACACAATATATAATAATAATAATAATATTATGTACATATTATAACATAACGATTCCGCGTGCTTATCTCTCGCGCGCCCAAGTTCGTCAGCGCGCGATTCCGAGGCCCCGGGCCTAATTATTATAACCCGGCATATTATTGTACACAATAATACTGCACAGTTTGTAGAATATATTTGCGCGCGCGTGTACATGCGTACTTACTGCGGTATACACACTACAGGGGTGTCTCGAGACATTGGGTATAGAGGGGAGGGGGTTAAAATAATTAATGTTAATGATTGATAGGAAAAAAAATCACGTCAAATAATATATTGACGATATAACCAATACTTCTGAACCAATGACTATATGCCAAATGACAATGTAAGTCCGTTTCTCTCGGGGGGGGGGGGGGGGGGGGGGGTTGATAAAGACGCCCCTGATAGACATCACCGCGTTGTGAGCAATGTATAAATGCACTCGTGGATTAGAATGTATATCGTTTCCGTCGAGAGTGCCATTTGGGGGTAGGGTATATGTGAGCTTTCATCTTTTTGCAATTGGGCTTTAAGTTTGCTCGAGTCTTAAACGTACGTTCGAACCCTAGGGGTCGGAGTTGGATTTCGCAATTCAAATTGTATTTTTTAATTTAAGAACTTATCAAAATATTCTTCGTAAAGATATCACGGCTAATAAATTACATACACAAATATATTGCAATTAGTGGACAATTTTTAGGTATTTCTTAATTTTTAGATTCGAATGGTCGAACGAATTATTCTAGTCAATAAAATATAGAACATTTTTTTAATAAAAGATGACCATGGTATACCAATACCAATCTATACTTAGTAGATTTAAAACTTAATCGTAGTAATATAGTATATTGTTGATAAATATTATTAAAATCCGCATAAATAATTTTTTTTATACAAAACAGAATTCTACATAAATAAAGACATTATGTATAGCATGTTGTTTAATATGACTTCGTTACATAAAAATACATTTAAAATTTTAATTTCTATAGGAATAGTCATAAACATTATCTTTAAAATTTTAACTAACACGCGGAAAAATAACTAACTATTAAAGTAATTTTTATTCGCGGTTATGTATGTATATATATGTATATTTTTGTATGCGCTAAAAAAAGTAATAAAAATACTTTTAATTTGCTGATGAAGATTAAAGATGAAACAAGAATTAATTATAATTTGTTAAACAAACATTATACCGAAAGAAGAAATGCAAGTAATTTACCTTTATTTTTTCTTTGTAAAACCAGACGGTTTTTTTTTTGTTTCTTTTGTTTCGTGTTGTAGTGAAATAAATTTTATACAGCGTGGTGCTAAAAGTACAAAGTACAAATTAAAATATCGTTACTACAAATACCATTACGTTATTAAAAAATAACGTAAAATAAAAAAGAAAAAGAAAAAATAATTACCTTCTTTCTAGTAGGTACCGATTAAATTGGAAGAACCACTGTACAAAAGGTTAACAAATAAGAAAACAAAAGTTTATATAGTTAATCGAAGACGTGTTTGAGATTTTGAGTCGTCACTGAATGAGCAAACAAATATACATCTAACGAGTAATAAATGACAGCGCGGACTTCAACAGCGGCAGGTGTCAACGGATTTCGTGAATTTCCGTGAGCATACGTTAGTGAGCCTCTCGCTCTGTGTTTCGTGGAGGAACTTCGTGTACTACCTCGGTGAGATAAAAGTAATACGTACTCGGGCTAGAGTAGTCTGTACGTGTGTGTATGTACTGAGTGGCGCTTATTTTTAACTTTTTTTACGGGGAGGGAGTCTATAATTTATAACAGTTACACACCTAGTCATTTTTCGGAGGGTTCAATATTAAATACGCATGTAAATTCCAATCATCTAATCGTTTAACTATGTAATCAGTTTTTCCGCGTAGTAAATTATTCATTGCACCTACATTGTCTTTAACCTACTTCATGTTGTTTAGCTCGGCAATCTATAATAGCACAACGACACCCACTACTATATTATACTCGTATATTATATAATTTCTCTATCCATTACTTAATTTCGCTGCAGGAACATCTGATTTGATTTTTTTTTTTTTTTGGCTCTTGGGGGGAGGTCCTCTGGACCCCTCTCGCTATAAATACGTCAATGCATCATGTATCGATATTATTATTATTGGCAAACAAGATGGTGGTAGCGGAAGTGCGGGACCGAGAGGGGATGAGGAGGAGGAGGAGGAGAAGAAGAACCGGACGAGAAGTTTGTTCGAGTAGATTGTTCATCAAGTCGGAACACTGTTTTAACGCGCGTTTCGCGTTACCATACGCCACCACATGCACCGCCGCAGCCGCGGCCGCCGACCGACCTCTCCGCTTTTGTAAGTTCGATCGCTTCAAGTTTGCGCTGCGAGAGCTCTGAAAGTATGCGGTTGATTCTGAAATCTCCGATAAGAAACTTTGCGCACCGAGGTTTACGTGGATGGGGGCACAACAGGGGCAGCGACCCCCGACCGTATACGTAATATACGCTACCACACCGCGGTGGTTCGCCGGATCGCGGTTAGGAAACTTTGACTAGGGCTGCCGCAGTATATATACGACTATATATATATATATATACACACACGTATACATTATATAAGTATTAGACTATTATACTATGCGTAATATGTGTACTCGAACAAGTAAATTTTTACCGCTTTGTTTTTCAGCCGTCCGTAAAGACGTTTCATTAACCTTTTCGGCAACAACAACAACAAGAACGGCAATAACAGGTGTACGACGGACTTGCGTTGCAGATAAGATATGTGTCGTTCAGTTTCCCCGAACGGAAAGATCCGCTTTAATTCACATCCGGCGTATACAAATCGATCCGTTCTACTGGTCATAAATTGGTATTTATAGATATTGTCGACCGATTCACAACGATTCGAATTCGGTTTTCGGACCGAGTTATCTCTGTTAACATTATCCCCACTCTCCAAATGGCTGTATCGCTAAAGTTTTAGCGGCTGAACGCAAAACGAAACGAACGAATGATTTTAAACAGAGATAATCTGAGTGCGTCCCGCTTTTAAGTTTTACCTTTTTCAAAGTATGAATCATACCACCCGGGTGCGTCCGCTGTCGTATCGATGCAGCTTTATGTTAGGTTAGGGATTGATAAATTGATCGATTGGGAAATAACATTTTATTTCAACTTCGATTATAAAACTAAGCAAGATAATAGAATACGGCTAGTAGTCATGTTTTACCCTAACGAATGTAGTGCCGTTATTTTTCCCGTAACCTAGTACCGAAGTAATACTGTAATTTTCAACATTTTCAATAAAATGAAAAACTGTTATGCTTTCATGGGCGAAATATTGAAATATTATAAGTACTCTAAAAACTATGTATTTTGTATCTATTTTATAACATTCAACCAACCATCATAGTGGCTGTAACCAATATTATATGTAGTAAAATAACTAAATATTTTTTTGGGGTGCAAGCCATTTTACTTTTTAGTGTTACACTAAATTAACTAGGAAGCATTTGAGATAAGTTGAAAAAATTATATTTTTGGGGAAGACGCACTCGGGCAATACCTTATTTCGGACGCACTCGGAGGATTGAAAAAGTGTCATTTCGTGACACAAACCGGCATTAAAGAGCCGATCCGAGAGACTCGATTCACTCGAACGACCCGTTTTTCCCATTCATACTCCAGACTATTACCATCTGCAATATACTGTACCACTGTACATTTTATAACACTCTAAGACGATTCTGTTTTTTGCCGGCATCGATAACATTATTGCTAGTGTTGCAACCGTTAGTTTTTTTTCCGATATTTACGCCCCCAAATTAAAATTTGTATTTCTTACTCGACTTGTCAGCATAGTTTTAATTTTGCCATTATAATTTATTTTCTATAGGAACATTGTATTTCGATAATTATAATGTCGTTGTGTAGATATAATAATATTATTTATCCGCTACGTTTTATAATAAATTCAGTATTTAAAACATGAAAATCAACTAAACGGAATATCGAAAATATTCGTTGGACGGAAACAAAAAAAAAGAAAAGAAGACGTCCTAGGATAATGGGGATGAGTGCAGCCACTGTTATAGGTAATTAAACGTATACCTGTAAGCAACGATAAACCATCGCTTACGAAAAAACGATTCTGAGTGGAGTTCAGTTGATAGTGATGCTTTCTTAAAAATATATATGTTATATTATAGTAAAGTAATTAAATAGGCTTTATACATTTATTTTTAATAAAATGTGTTTAATTTTGAACCGATTTTCCCGATTTTCCTACGTTTTTCCCAGTTTTCCTATGCTTTATCCCGGTTTTTCACATTTACCGGAAAACACTCGGGAAAATCGAAAAATAACCTCCTTGAAGTGTCTCCCCACACAGACTTCCTTTCAGAAAAAAGGCTACACTTAAAAATCGGAGCAAGTCTTTTAGTAGAAAAGTTGCGCACAGGTACAAAATAAATAATTAAATAAACATCTTTGTGAAACCATAATTTTCTTCGCTCCACTCAGAATCTAAAAAAATACATGTATATTTATGAAAAAAGACGATTTTAATTTTTAGACACCTCAGGACGACGGCTTGTACGGAATGGCATACCTCGCACGCCCGATCGTTTGGCGAGGGTTCACGTCGGTCATTTTACAATAACGATTCCCAACGACAATGACGCTGTTCAAATTTAACGGGTATTGTACGTGAAGTTAACGGACGGCGGGGGACACAGACTCGACAGCCGAACCGGATTATAACTATTGCTCTCGGGAAAACTTCACGGGCTTCTTCTTCTATTGTAATATAATCGCGAAATACCCGGCCGATCCGCTTAAGCCCACCGCGCTGAAGTCGCGATAACACACGAATGCTATTAGCGCCCGTATGTGCGCGCGGGTCACTCGCTCCGCGGGCTCCGGTTCGTTGTTGTCACGATGCAGGCGCGTTTTCGCCCCGCGAAATCAACGCGCGTAGTGTTTACGGTGGCGGCGCGGCCGGATTCCGTATTCTTTTGCGTATTAATTATGGCCGTGTCGCGGGTGAACGGCGAGGCGGGCACGGGGCGGGTGAAAATAATAACCGAATAATAATAACGAGACGCGAAAATCGCACCGGGGAAATGAAGCTTTCAAAACGGTCGCGCTCCGCCCGCGCTCGTCCGACCCCGCCCGCGAATCCCATCACGAACAGTTCTAATTACCGCCGGGCCGTGAAAAAAAAAAAAGTTTTTAACGCGACGGCCGAACAACGCTGTACGCTGCGCCGTGTATATATACATATATATATATGTGTGCGTACACTGCACCGGTGGGGTTTTATCAAAGTCCGTTAATTAATTAGCGACGAAAGTGGCTGACGGGCGGCGGCGGCGGCGGCGGCGGCGGGAAGGCTCGACTGCGAGCGTTTCTCGCTTTTCCTTCGCCCGTCGTCCGGCCGCCGCGCACGCGAAATTCTCCACTCGCATCCACTCTGCACCGCGACGTGGCGCGATAAACGCGCGGTCACGGCGCGCATACATGCGTATCTTATACACTGCGCGATATTACATTTCAATATTATATTTAATCGCGTTTTACGAGTGCATGGGGTTTTACGGATATCGAGCGTACAAGAGTGTGTACCGCGTACCGCCCGCGCACAACGCCCGTCGCTATAAGTCTAATTTCCCCCCTCCCACCCGTTATCGCCCGACAAACTCGACGTTTATAATTCAGATTTACGTTTATACGCCGCCGTCTTAAGTTCACGCGTTGCGCGCGCGTGACGCTCGATCAAGGGGAAATTATGATAATAGATTCGGTAAACAAGAA